TCTCTCTGTCTCTCATACTCAGGTGAGCCGCTCTCACCCATCATTGTTGCTCAACTATTTGCCCTAGAATGCGCGCCCGTGCCTCAACAAGAGTTTGGGAGACGAGAGACAGCCGGATCCATTATGGCCCGTACACATCACCAGATGGGAGTGTCAGCGCGTTGTAAAACATCATCCCACTGATTTCCATTGTGAAACGAACTGGTACGCTGCTTATACCCACTGCACACTGACAGTGGGATTCATCGTTTTGAGTCAAAGCCAGCCAGATTTTCCTCCATGGATGGAGCCGTGTTTTATGTTTGTTTGTTTGTTTGTTTGTTGTTGGAAGGGGGGTTGCACGATACGACTGAATTCTACAAGACTCGGCAGTAACTTTCAAAACCAAAACGCTTATGGTTTTTTTAAGGTCGTTAGTCAAGTCGGTCGTCTAGTGGCAGCTTGGTAGGTTTTGCATCTTCATGTAGGAAAATCTGGCGAGCTTCAACTGAGTCTGATGAATCCGATTGGCATTGTGCGTTTGGTATTAACGTTAGTTCCCTAGATCTAGTATCCTATATACAATTATTCTGATTTCCACTTCGCCACGTAATGTTTAGCGAGTTAGCATAGTTAGCAAGAATCCTACGTCATCACACTGATTCTCATTGTGCTAATTATTATCTTGTGACGTACCGTAAAGCTAATGTTGTGTATAGAAAACAGAACGGATCTATACTGGTAGACATTGTTGGTAAAGAGCGCAATTGTATTTAGGGATATTACGCCTTAAATGCTTGTGTTGGATGAGTCTTTTTTGGAATACATTTTACTCGTAGAATATTAATGTTCGTCAGCTGTTTACCCAGATCATTTCTCACTAAGCCCTCCCTTCTCTCTCTCTCTCTTTCTCTCTCTCTCTCTCTCTCTCTCTCTCTCTCACTCTCTCTCGCTCTCTCTCTCGCTCTCTCTCTCTCTCTTTATCTCTGTCTGTCTGTCTGTCTGTCAGTCTTTCTCTCTGCTCAAATCTCTCATTAATCTATCTATATCTCTATCTATCTATCCCTCCATCTATCTATCTATCTATCTATCTATCTATCTATCTATCTATCTATCTATCTATCTGTCTATCCATCTATTTATCTATCTTTACCTTTTAATTATATCTCTCTGTTTATATGGTCCCAAACAACCGACAGCGTCTTACTACCTCACACGCACAAACACACCAACTAATACATAGGCATGGATCACAAAATGTGGATATCATATCGTAATTGAAGAAAGACAGACAGTCCCATTGAAAAAGCTTAGTGACAAACGAACAGGTAGTCAGACAGACAGGCCGTCAGGAGGATAGACAGACAGATAAGCCGGCGGAGCGATGGTCTGGACTTTAGGCAATATGGACTCTCAGTGTGGTTATAACTGATATATAAGAATTATATAAAGCTGCCGGAGGGGGGGGGGAGTTCTACCGACATTAAATTGTGCTTACTAAAATTTAACATACAAAAAAGGAAACAAATAGGGAGAAATGGAAACGTAACATTATAAAGATGTAGAGGAGTGGAGAAAACAATGTATCGAAACAGAGAATGAAGAGAATATCGATAGGGAAGTTGAGAGAAAAAAAAGAGAGCATACGATACGAACGTTTCAGGAATAGAGAGAAAGAAGAGAGAACACAACACCATGGGGAAATGGAAAAAGATCAATAACGATAAATACAAAGATACTGGGAAAAAGGAAATAATAAGAGACGACAGACAGATAGCAGCAGATACAAATAGAGCGAGAAACAGTGACAGGCACTTAGAGAGAGACACAGAGAGAGAGAGAGA